TTTTCCAATTGATCACAGGATTTTTATCATTATCTTTTAAGTTCCAAACCTCTTTTGACATAAAATCTAATTTTTTTCATGTAAATTGTCAATAAAGATCACCCCTCAAGCTGAAAATAATTTTTCCTATCTTTTTAGTGAGTTATAAATTACTTAATAGAGACACAACACAATCTTCTCAATATACGACTGTGATTACAAACATCATAAATTCTACAGATTTCTTTACAAGATAACTGCAATTTTTAATAACTGCAATTTTCGATTTCAACCCTGTTGGACCGTGTGGAAGTGCTTCAGCATTTTATAATTGGTTTTTTGTATATAACCGGAATTGTCTTCTTTAAGTTTATCAAACTGTTATCTTGTGTTTTGAACATTATGTCCCAAAAATAGTGTTGCTTCAAACAAGAATAAGAAAGTTGGTGAATCAAATTTAGTAAGGTTTGAAAAAGCTAAAACTTCCAGAAGATGTACTACTGTTGTTAAAAGTATTAGTGAAATGAATAAGTTGCCAACAAAACAGCGTATCATTGATCAATTTAAAAGTTTGTCATCAAATGTGAAAAGTAGAAAGGATAGAATTACAATTGTGGCTAAAGAAACTAAATTGCTATGGAGAAAGCTAAATACTCCTATTCAACAAGGGGAATCAGCAGCAGAAAGAAAAATAGAAAATGTATTGAAAAAACTTGACAAAGATAGTCGAAAACCCGGAACTCAAAATTTTACACGATTGTTTGATATAACCGATGAGAAAGGTGAATGGTTGTGTCAGGAAGATAAAGAATTTTATTGTCTTCAAAAGTCAACAAATGGAAGAGCTGGATATTGTACCACAATTAAAGATGCTGAAGGTATTCATCCAAGAAAATTAGTGATGATAAAGAAACAAATGTCCATCAGTCAAGGACAAGATTTTGTTGAATAAGCTAGTGAAGGAGATCCTTCAGAAAGCGAAGAGCAGTGTTCCAGCAGTGATATTGAAGCTGAAGGTCCGTCATCATCATTTAAAAAACAAAAAACAAATTCAGCAGTAAATTTAGTGATTTCTGAAAAGATTAGTACCAAAAAAGCACATAAAGTATGTAAAACACTATCAGAAAGTGGTATTTCTATTTATACTCCAACGCAAAGTGGTATTTACAAAAGTGTTATGAAAGAAGGGGAAAAGTTGAAAGTAAATTATATGGAAAACCTAAAAAATGAAAAGTGGTCTTTGCACTTTGATGGAAAACACATAAAGAAAATGTTCTGGAGCTGATGAATGGAAAAAATGAAACAATATATAACGGGATAAAGCATTTGCTAGATGAATATGAGCTGTGGCCAGCCATAAAAATGATCGTATCTGACACAACATCTACAAATGCAGGATTAAGAAATGGTGTAGTTACACGGTTACAGAAACATTTTAAAACCATTGGACTAGAAAAGCCTGTTTTTATTGGATGCCAACACCATATTCTAGATACTCTTTTAAAACATGTCATGAATGATCATTTTGAAGGATCAACAATGTCACCATATCTCCATTACCCTTTTGTGACAAGGTTGCAGCAAGATTATGAGAACTTGAAGTTATTACTTTATAATATTGGAAATCCTTTGACGAAAGTAAAGCCAACTCGCTGGAGAGATGACATGGATTTCCTGAATCACTTAATAGCATGTTATAGAAAGTTTAAAAGCACAGGTAACTTTCCAAAAGTTAATTTTAAATCACTTCCTGCTTTAAGCAATGCAAGATGGAATTCGAGAGCCATTTTTATTCTACTTGCTTACATTTTAATACCAGAATACCAAGAATCAGAATCTACTCAAGCAGCATGTGACTTCATCTGTGATTCATGGGGTGATATACGGTTTGGGGGTCACTACTTCAATCCTGCAGATTTTGTTAATCTATTAGAAGCATGCAATGAGCATCCCAAAGCATTGAAATCATTGAAAAGATTTTGATCCACTGAGCCAACACCAATACCAACACAAGGGTCAAATATATGTGCAAAACGTGCTGTAAAAGTGATACAAGACTTAATGCCATTATGCCATAGCATAGAAAAACTAAATATTAAATACTTATTGTCAAATACACAGTAGACAAATTTTAATTGTACATGTTTATTGGTTTCTGTAAAGTAGTGGAAGATGTGTTGCAAAACTACATTTTTTTATAAATATTTTTTAATTGGGTGGTGAACTTTTTTGACAGTAAAAATGCTTGTTATTTTTTTGATTTTTGAACAAAAACTCCACTAAATTTAGTATGGGGATATAGGGTTGCAAAATTGTCATATCCCTAATATATATATATATATGTGTATATATATATGTATATGTATATATATGTATATGTATATATATATATATACATATATATATATATATATATATATATATATATATATATATATATATATATATATATATATATATATATATATATATATATATATATATATATATATATATATATATATATATATATATATATACACCTCTAGAAAGACAATTTTAATACACAACTTTTGTATTAATAATGTCATTTTGGGGAAAAATGGAGATGATATCCTATACCTCCGAGGTACATATATATTAACATACTTTATAAATATTAAAATTTTTATAAAAAAAAAGTATTAAATTATTTTAACAATTTAAATTCACATTTTGAGTACTAAATTATTTTTATAAAATTTAGGATATCTAATTATATGAAAAAAATTTACCTAGAATGTTATCCACTATGTATATACAGTAGGGTATCCCAGAAAATAAAATAAAAAATTTAATACAACATTGTGCGCTATAGCAATCCTCCTTATTTGGTCAAAGTAGACTACAATATCTGGCCTCAAAGTCATTGTTAAGCTGACGAAGGTGTTTTAGTAAAAAGTTTCATTTACATTTTAATGAATTTGCAGAGTTTTTTTTTTTGCATTTTATGATTAAAACTATATATTTAGAATATATTTATGATTACAAATATATTTAGAAATACAAGAAATAAATCCAAGAGATAAATGTGTTATCTTTATTTTACTAAAGTTAGTTAAAGTCATCTAAAGTTTGGCTGACCAGCACTTAAAGGAGAAAGAGAGGATGGATATTCTTGTGGAATTTTTAAAATATGTTCCAGAGATAAACAGCTTATACAAAGAGCAAACAAAACCTTTTTTTTTTTTTATTTTAATTCACCTCCTCAAGGCCGAGAAGGCCACTACAGACGAGGAGGCTACTTATTTGTGGCTATAACCCTCTCTCAACTCTATAACTCCGAAACACGAACCTTGACGAACAAGGCCGCTGCGCGGAGAAACGAGTTGAGCGCGGTACTACCAGGGACGTGGTGGGGATCGAACTCGGAACCACTCGTTTATGAAGCGAGCGCTCTACCACTACACCACTACCGCATTTTACACAGGTCTGTTCCCTATCAAAGCTATCTGTTTCTCAAAAACCTTATCTCTTTTTTATCCATTTCGGTAAAAACAAAGTTGACATTCTCATGGAAAGAGGAAGGAATGTCAAATCTGGAGAAAAATCTCAACAACAGGTCTTTAAAGACATTTGTGTCCGGTGTACTTTTGAGTCCTTAATATAAAGGAAGGGGGGATAAAAGGTGGGATGGGAATTTTAGACCAGATCTAAAAAACAAGGGGGAAGGGAGGGGGCAACTTAATAGTGGTTGCTTTTCAACCTTGTTGGGAATGAATCAGAAATTAAAAAAAAAAACTTTTCTTTTTAGTTTATAGAAACTTATGTGTCACCCTGTATATCTTTTACTCAAATACTTTTTTACTCTTTTCCTAAATTTAGTCCTAATCCCTATTGTTTATCTTGTTTCTAACTTGGTGCTGGTGCTCAGCTTCTCCTTGTTTTCCTTTAAGTGGTTCAGATTATGCTAAGATCTCACTAAAACTTTTATTTCATACTTTTTCTACATCAGAATCACTTTTTCTTTCTATTACCTGAGTACTTTTTACAGTTTGTGTAGCTGTTAATTTTAATGATAATCATTTCTTCTATCTTTTCCAATAGAACAATTTTCTGGAAAACAAGTTGTTTTTTTTCATCATTGCAGGATATTAAAGCAAACACAGTATTGCCTGACGCTTAAACCAAAAAGCTTTAGATTACTAAATCTTGTAATTTAGTTTAGTAGTTGAGTTTCGGAGATTTTTAGAAAATTTTTAACCACATCATAAACAACACCATTACTAAAGCAAATTTAGCATTCCTTATCTCTTATATGGATTTGGTTTTATTTTCTGTTTCAAGGATAAAATAATTTTCCTTTAACAAATCTCTTGAATCTAATGACAACAGTCTTCCTGTAATCCCAAAGAAAAAGGGTTAGCCATTCTTAGACATCTAAACCACTCCTGTTGCTATAAATGATTTCTTACTTAAACTCTTCTAAAGCTTGTAGTTCAGGCAACATTTTTACAACACAGTCTTACAAAACTCCATAACTTTCTTAATTACTCTTTTAACTAATTAACAAATGCTTAACTGAATCTTGTTTTCGAAAATTTTGTTTACATGCTATTTTTTTGAAAATAGCATGTAAACAAAATTTATAAAAATTTTAGATATTGCTTTGACCCCTTTAAATATCTAAATCTAACCCAGTCTTCTTACTATAATTCATAAGATCTTTAATTAACAAACTTCTAATATCTTATCTTGATTCCAACAACTTACTCTCTGATAATCAATACAAAATTTTATCTTCTAGTTTTACTGTTGACATGTTAAACCATTAAAACAGAAAGGGCATTAGAAGGAGGCGAATAAAATAACTTAAACACTAATTTATAACTTTTATTCATAAATTACAAAATATTTAGATTATAATCTAAATAATTTAGATTCAAAGAATTTACCACCTTATTAGTTTTAATTTCTAGAAAGAAAAAAAACACATCTAAAAATGAAATAATACTGATAAATCAGGTTAGTTTTTTCCAAAAAAAAAACCTAAAACTAACTACCTCATGATACTCTCGTATACAACGCACCATAACTAAGGCTACTGGGAGTATTGCATTTACCCCTTCTTTACCAGTTGACGTTTTGATAAAATCTGAACCAGCCATCATAGATACCATGCTGGCCTTATATACATTTTCTAAAGATCCACATTCTCCTAAATATATTAAAAATAGGTGAATATACATAAACAATAATGAAATAATACAGAGAAAACTATAAAGAAAAACAGAAACAAACATATTAATAGCATCATTAATGCATATTTTGAGACTTTTTAGAGACTTTACTTTTGAGACTTTTTAGAAACTCTTTTTGATCTGACTTAATTTTCAAATACCTGTGGCTAAAATAGTCTTAAGATGAGCATCCCCACAAGCATCTCTTGAAGCCTTAACTTCATTGTAAACCTCTAACCAATCTCCTTTCATAACATGTGTTCTTGATAGAACAATATCTATTTCTTTTGCTCCATTGGCAACAGCATCTTTTATTTCCAATAGACGAATATGCATTGGGGTTTGACCTTAAATTAAAGATGTCAAAACAAATAATCAAATACTATTAGATTATATACATTATAATTAGATAGCAGTAAACCATAACATATTATTATTTAAACCTGCAGGAAAGCCAGAAGCAACAGATGCAATAGGTATATCTGATGCATTGGCATCATTTAAAGCTTTCTTTGCATCTAAAACCCTTGATGGATATACACATACAGCACCGCAAGTGATATTTAAATCTTTAACTCCTAACTTATCTATTATATCGTAACGTATAGGATTTTTTGATTTGAAACAAAGTCTGCGAACATTTGAAGCTGAGTCGTCTCCTAAAAATAATGTATCAATGTATTAATTCTGTGTTACATTAATTAAATTGACTTTATGAAGGCAACTTTTTAAATTACATAAAAAACTATTATACCAGCCAACGTTGTCAAATCTAAGCAGGATACAGCTCTTAAAAGCCACGCAGCTTGATAATCTTTTTTAATCGATCTAAGCTTTCCTAAAGTTTCTGCCCTAGTTTTTACACTAGGGAAATTAATTTTAACATCTGAAAACCAAGATGAATCAAAAGGAACTCCTGGATTGCGTTGCAATAAAGTGGCAGGCATTTAAAAAGCAGTGTAAACGTCAACAGTAGTTGTAGCTCTGTCACTTTAGCTTTGGTTAAGAATAATTTTGAACTTAATTAGAAAATTTTAGTACAAAAATATTGCCTTAGGTTTTGGTCCGGGCTATAATTTAGACAAATTGTTCCGCGTTTACTTTCCAAGGTGTCACGTTAAAAGATAAAGGCGGATTATTTGTACAAGTGATATAAAATGACCACCTATATGCACCGTTGACTTTCAACTTTTTTTAGAAAAATCAATTGCTTCAAACGGGATTACCTTTATAAGACCATAAAACTGTAATATGCGAAATTTGAAAGTTATTTTTGAAGACGTATTTCGTTGTAATTCTACAAAGAATGGTGTCTTTAAAGCGGTTTATTTAAGTTGATTTTTCACTTATTTTTCCAATAAGATAGCTACTAGCTAACTTGAGATTTTTTTATTTTTGAGTTGACTCTTTTTTATTAAAAGTTATTAACTCGAGCTTGAAGCATCTTGATACCAGAAATTGTTGCTACCTAATTTAAAATCGTCGTGAGCGGACATTTTTATCAATTAAAAGAAATTAACACATAATTTTAGTACAAGGCCGACTACGCAGGAAAACCAAGGGACACGTGAATCCTTCTCGTCCCTTTCACCTATTTTTTTTGTAGGATCTTTTTTTTTTTTTTTGTATTGATACATGTCAATTTCTATTAATTGTCAAATATGGGTTTGAATTTTAAAACAGATTCCTGTTTGGTACAGAATTATGCCTCCTAAGTAAATAATTTTGCAGAGGCACAGTAAAAATATAATTTAATTACGACAGGCGATAAAATTTTTGATAAAATATATTTCTTAATTTTAATCAACAGTTTTGCTTTTCTTTCTCCTCTTTTTATATACTATAGCTGAACTTTATAGTGATGTTAGTAGTGCCCATACGAGCGTGTTTGTCATGGAACTTTACGCAGCCATTGCAACCGAGGTCATGTGATTTTAACCTTTAAATAAAATAAAATACAGTAATTCAAATGTAATGAAAAAATCACTCAAAAAAACTTATTCGAAAACTCGACTAGTTTTATTCGTTTAAATTTGCTCAAAACAAATCTTACTACAAAAAATAGAACGTCATATATGGCTATGCATAGTTCAAGCTTTCGTTACCTGGTTTCTACTGGTGTAATTGAGATATTTCAACTATTTTACACAAAAGTGCTCAGTAAGTGCATAAAAAAAAAAAGTTTTACAATCTGCAATCATCTGCAATTTCATAAAAAAAAGTTTGAAACTGTATCTAGGTGAGGACATAAACAAAAAGTGCATTGTTTGAAAAAATTAAATAAAAATAAAACATTTTAAATTCACTTTTAAAAATATCTATTAATGTATATTTTAACCACTTTAAAATTATTTTTTAATTTGCAAAAGAGAGCGGAAAACCTGATATTGAAGAACCCCTGAAAAAAATTAGGAACTTTCAACAAACTTTAGCTTTAACACTATAAAAACGAACTAGTCCTAATAATTCGCTACTTATTTTTCAAACAAAAGAATTGAGTTAGATTATGGGTTCTACAGGGTTAAAAGTCAGTCTTTAAAAAAAACACATGGATAAGATGGACCAGAGATTCTTTTTTACATTGCCACTAAAAAATGTTACATAGTGCCTTTTTTTTTCATTTTCGCCAAATGTCCAGTTTTGAAGCAATTCTGTCCCACTGTGCGCCGTGGTTCAAATCCTACCATTAGAACCTTTTTTTTTTTAATCTTATTTGATTTTTCTAAAATAAGAAATATAACACTTGTGAAGTTTTATAGATATTATATACATAAAGATATTATATGCTATAACAAACGAAAGAATGATAATTTTTAAAAAAAAGCTTTAAATTTCCAAAAATATCAAAACACCAAGTGAAATTTGTTGCGCAAATGCGATGATAGAGATACTTAGGTTATTAATCTATGATAATTATATAATTAGCTCTAATAAGCTGCGGATGGTCTGAAAATAAATAATGGTTTAAAGTTTAATAAAGAAAAAATTTAATAAGACAGTTCTGCTACTCCATAATGTGCTGTATTTAATGTGGAGGCAGATAAAAAAAAAAAAGAAAAAGAAAAGCCCGAAGCTAGAAAAAACTTTTAAATTTTATTTCAATAATTACAAGTCTTTTTTGAAACATTCATTTTTTTGATATAAATAAATACCGCTAGATTGAAAAAATTGGCAATATTTATTTTCTTGTATAAACTGTACAATGCATATTTTTTTGTGCCAAAGTGGCATTACCAATACTGATTTCTATTTCAGTATTCTATGCTCAAACCCCTTGATTGTAAACTAGTTTTGTATGAATAGTTATTTCTTAAACTTGTTTTTATCATACTATATCCCGGTGTTTCAATTAGAGGTGACATTGTGATTTTTTGTCTTTAAAATTAATTTACTGGACTGTTGGGATCAAAGCCATAATATTGCGTCAAACAGGTTTTCATTGTCGATGAATACTAAAAGTCATTTACTAAAAGCTAATTTTGTTCCCAATACAGCATTCATTAAATGTTGTTTAAAAAGCTGCTAAAAAGAGTTTTTCCAAAAAGCAATTTAGTTTTGATTTTATTTTCTTGTTATGCTTACTGCTAAATTTTTTCTCATTATGCTTACTGCTGAATGAGCGGTGACAATGCCATAATTCTGAATGAGCGGTGATAATGCCATAATTCTGGTTGAGCGGCAATAATAGCATAATTCTAATTGAGCGCTGATATTGGCATAATTCTGAACAATCGAAAATAAAGCCATAATTCTGAGTGAGCGGTGATAATGACATAATTCTGGTTGAGCGCTGATGTTGGCATAATTCTGAATGAGCGGTGATAGTGGCATTATTCTGAACAAGCGCTGATAATGCCATAGTTTCTGAATGAGCACTAATGATATAATCCTGAATAAACTCTGATAATGGTACAATTCTGAATGAGCGGTGATAATGACATAACTCTACATGAGCGGTGATAGTGCTACAATTCTGAATGAGCGGTGATAATGGTTTGTAATAACTGAATGCTGATAAAAAGTTTTTACATTCAAAAAATTATTTCATAATAGTTGGTCTCTACAGTTTGATGCAAAGTAGAATTTAGGTGCACTTATCGAATGTTCCTATTATAATAAGGTAACCGGCAGTATAATGGGCTATGAATAATTTAGTCGTTAACACATAAAACGTGTTGTGTGATATAAGTAAACTCAAGTTCTTTTTAGACTTGTATTACAAAAACTAAAACGAATTCAACTTTTTTTATTGTATTTTAAGTTTGATGTTGATAACTGAATGTTTGAGGCTGCACATCTATTTCTGTTACATCATTAAAAATGGGCAGTTCGTTACATTGTTGATATTGATTTTGTTTAAGTTGACGCTTTTGTATCCAGATTTAAACATTTATTACTCTAAAAACATGTACTCCATTTCCAAAGTTTTACCCCTCCACCTTTTCCAACTCTTCTCCGCATATACCGTACTACTATTTTGTTGAAACAAGTAAGAAAGGGGAAGGAGAGGTAGTTATAGCCCTGGAGTAATTGCAGACCATTCAAAGATATGGAACAATAAAAATGATGAATAAAAAATGAGCTATTGTTAGTACTCAGTAATTGGTCAGCTTTACGTGAATAAAAACTTCAGCAATTTTAATTTAGTTTTTATTCACGTAAAGCTGAGCAATTACTGAGTAAATTGATTGACTTTACGTGAATAATAATTTGAGCTAAACTGCTGAAGTTTTATTCACGTAAAGCTGACCAATTACTGAGTAAAAATAGTAGCTCATTTTTTATTCATCTGGCCTAATAAGTTAATTTTACGGTGCAGGTTATATTAACATTATAATATTTTATGTTAATGCGTATAAACTATTACTGTTGTATAATAATTATTATATTAATCTTTTTAACTAATACTTATATGATTATTTAATACTTTTTTCATCGATAATTTATCGGCTACGTCATTGACTCATAATATATATTGACTTATACATAGACGTATACATTAATCAACTAAAATTCAATTTATATAATGTCAATTCCAATGAAAATTAAGTCAATTTAAAAAGTCAATTCCAATTTATGTTAAATTGGAATAGCCGCAGTCGAGTGTTTTAGTCTTTTAATCAATAGAAGATTTAAAACTTGAAAATTTTTTTGCTGATTGCTGAAAATAAACTGATTACCCCCTGTAACAAATCGTCACAAAATTGTTAATCTTTATATCAACCTCCCCCCCCCCCACCTTATCCCCTTAACACAACAAATAAAAAGAAATCAATTTTTTTTTCAAAAAAATTAAATTTCTTTTTATTTTGCTATGTTGTTAATGATGGAGAAATAAAAAATCTAAACTTTATTATGAGCCAGTTTAATCTATTAACATTAGATTTTTAGTCAAGAAACAAAAAGTATCATCAACAAAATTATGATCAACAAAGTGATCATAATTTAAAAATTTAGAAAACTTGAAAATTTTTTTATAATTCCATTTACTCAATTGAAGCTTAACTCGACTCTGACCTCAAAATCACAATCATTGAATTATTTTTAAGTATCTTATTTTCTTATCTCGACTTCTATATTTTTAAAATACCAATATATACTGGCTCATTAAAAAAAAAAAAAAATTAATATAGAATCACGGTGAAAAATATCAATGTTGTCATTGTGTTTCGTTTTTTTAAATAGTTTTTCAGTGGATGTTATTTTACTCAGTCTTTTTTAACCCACTTTTCTAATATCTTGAAATGAGATAGAAACTGTTAAAAAACAAATTAAAATTCATCTTTTTTATTCTTTGGCTCATTTTCTGAAAATGTAAAGCGTTTATATCATATATATATATATATATATATATATATATATATATATATATATATATATATATATATATATATATATATATATATATATATATATATATATATATATATATATATCGTTTATATCATATATATCAAACATTAAATGGCTTTTGAGCGGTAAAATACATTTTAAAATTTGAACTCTAAAATATGATTGAATTTAATATTAAAAAATAAAAAATAATTTCCCTAAACCAGGGGTTAATAGGGACGTTTTGAGAGTATTTTTGTTACAATTAGCAAATATCG